ATTTATTTCCCCCTGCAGCTTCTCCACCCCCCACTCCCAGCATCGTCTCCCTCCTCAACTCTTACCTTTGCTCTGTGGCCACAGATTTCATGCATACTGCAGCAACCCCAACCCAGCCCCACAACTGCTATGGGGGACCTGCTCCGTGCCCAGGCTAGAATGTGGATGGAGCCGGCTGAGGGAGAACAGAGGCGAGCAGGGGCAGGCACGAGCAGGAAGCAAGCTGCTTGACCTTCCCACACTACCTGCCCCCTCCCACAGCCTGCCCCCAAGTATGAGTGGAAGGGATGAATTAGCAATGACCCTCCAATAATTAAACTGTATATGTGGAAAATGACAACAAAAAAATGTATAAAACTTTCCACGTAGAGATGAAGGCAGCTACACTCCCCTTTGTTTAGAGTAGCTTTTTATACACCACAACCTTCTTGATGCTACTTAGAAACTAAATAGTTTTTTCAAGCAATTCATCAGCAAGAAGAATAAAGTTTATACTCTAATTTGCAAATACAAATGCACATGTAGTTAGTAAGAGGAAAAGAGACAACCATGGCAATATCCATCTACCACAGAGGACTGGGCATGGATGATACGTTCTCTCTCCATAAATTTGCATTTTGGTTTGTATGCATTGTTTTTTTGTTTTTCATTTTTAATTTGAGGGGTTCATTCTGGAAGACTGGATTTGGGACTGAAGGGATGGAAGAGGTCCCATTTTGGGTGGCTGTGAGCATGAGAGAGCTTGGGGACACCACATGCAAATCTGGAGCCCCGGGGAACCCTTTTCTTTGGAAGCAGCAAAAAACATATCTGGGGCCAGCGAGGAGAGTCATCTCCTGCCCAGGGAGGGCCAGCTGAAACCCTTAAGGGCCAGAGGCTTGGAGGGGCCATTCCTTGATCTGGGGCCCAAAGGGCAGCAGTAGTTCTGAAAGATGCATAGTCTGGGAAGAGCCTCACGTTGAATTGAGGGTCTGAGGACCAATTGAGGCTCTTAAGAACATGGGAACCCAGAAATGAAGTGGAGCAAAGTTTCTAACACAGAGATATTGGACTGGCACTGAGGGCCCACCCAACCAAGCTAGCAGACAGGGCTGGGTGCCCAATAAACCAAGTTATCAGACTGGGGCCGAGGGCCCAATGAGACATTAACTGGCAACACCTGCAAGGCATGGGCATGGTTAGAGGGGAGGCTGGAGACCACAAAATAGACCCATAAGGTGATTAGCACACTAGCGTCACTGCAATGGCAGATCAGCAGCAGTTCTTGGCAGCCTCCCACTTCCTAAGTGAATCAATTCAAGCAAGGCATGGCAGGAAAGAGAATGGAGGGAAGACCAGAGATCCCAAGTAGAGCAGGAGTTACACAGAGAGCTCCATCATGGCTCCTCAGGCATAGACCTACTACAAATATGCTATTGGCTGCAACTATTAAAATTTGCCTAAGTTTGTCCCAGTGATACGCCTGTAAAATGCATATCATCCCATAACATTTTGAAAACAGTTAAACTGCATCACACTATATGCGCATCAAGAGCAAAGTTAAGCCTGTAGGTATAGTAGGTTCCTGATCATTCTGGCTAGACAGACTTCTGGACAAAAAAAAAAAAATTACCTTTTATGACAAGTTGTAAAAAAGAAATGGCTCTTGAAGACACAGCACTTTAATAGAAGCAGTACACTTCGAGGTTACCAAAAAACATTCAACTTTACAGAAACACATTTTTGCAACTGTAGCAAATACCAATTCCTGCCCCAGAGCAAATAAGTAATGAGAACTACCAGATTCTTACATTGGAGAGAGAGACCTAATGCTTACTTTTATTTTGTGCCCACATAGCTTTGCTACTGACAGCCTATAAATTCAGAGAACGTTTGAGAACCATTTTACATGCTATTTGTTTAAAAAGAAAAACATTTTATGTTTCTTTTTATTTTAAGTCTTAAAAAGTCTACTAGTGAAGTTTCATGTCAATACTCACTAGCTCAATTCCTGCCCTAGCTTCAACTGAAGGACAAGTTGGT